TCTTCTGACCTTATGCAGATATTTCTATCCAGGGAGAAGTTTCCCGTGGAGCTTGAAATGAACGGAGAGCGGAGGGGATCAGCCGTAGGCGAACGAGAAATGAGATTTTTTATCATGTAATGTGGTTAAAAACTTTTGCCTCTACTTTTCTCTGATCCATTGCCTCGGGGTCAAGTTGAAGAGATCTCGTTGCAAACTTGGATGGCAATGTCGCACGTCAAGTTTGATGCCGACAAGAATCACTTGTTAATTTTCGTGCAACAAATTCACTTGCAACGGCGATGTACGTTTGTAAACAAAAGGTACGCGGGCCTGGAGTAAGTTGGGTGCTAAAGAGGAGTACTAAAAGTGACGTACAATTGATAACGGTTTGCTTTCTCCTTCTCTTTCAGTCTGCTCTGAGCTCAGGCGTTCATCTAACTCTAATCATCACCTATTATACACTGATACCTCTGATTACGACCAACTTCCAGTTATTCCTATGCACAACTTTTGCTTGGGCCTTCCTTCACATGATTTCAGGGTAAGTCATATTTCGCTGAAACATCCAATTGCCATTGTGGGTGGAATCTGAAAATGGCGACTTCATGTCATCTTTGCAGGAATGAAAAGCATCTGCAATGCGAAGCACAGCGCGGGGTTGACATAAATTAGAATTGCTTCAAGTTGATAGAAAAGAAAGGTGGCCTTGCAGTCTATTATAAAACCCTGCGTAAGCTTCTCGTTTTTGCAGGGCTGGTTCAAAGTGCGTTGTCGCTTGTGAAGTCAACACTTTGTGGGTTGGAGGCGTTTGCAAAAAAAATTGTTAAAGTCAGATCCTCGTTGCAGTGGGGTGCCTCTCTAATGCTCCAATACTAGTTTTAAACCTCAGATTTTTTGGGGTCGTTTTCGCTCTCCCTCGATATTGTGTTTGAATATAAGCGCCGCCATGGAAATGAGTACGTGTCGCCATGTGGGCCGTAGCCCACGCTTTTTTTTGTCGGAGAGCTCGAAGGGTGGTGGGGATAATCGCTCTCTTCTGCTAATGGCGATGGTCTTTTGCACACTGTAACACTATTATCAGTTTGCTGCAACGCCTTCCCCCTTTTTACTAGATCATTGGATATTGAAGTATTGCGTGACATTTCATGAACCTGAAACGGTTCCACTGCTACTGCCTGGGAATTTCAGTTTTTTTCTAGAACTTCGTTTACGGGCATCGATATGGTGCTGAGTTACCAGCATAGTGACTTTTCGGTCTGGGAGCATTTTGATGTCACGGTCTTTCTTTCGAATTCGATGTAAAACTGTATGTAAGAGCTATTTCTGCTCGGATTATAGTGCAAAATAGGTTAATCGTGCGGAGGGCCGTAAAGCGCAAGGGTATGCTGATTTTTCAACACGGTTGGCGTGCCGCTGTACGTTATGGCGTAACAAAACTACGAGAACCGATAAGATTAAGCTTCAAAGGAAAGGGAATCTGCACCTCGTACGGAGTCTCCTTTTCCCCGAAGTTCCTCCCGAATTGGTCTTACGGGCGCTATCGCAAGGTTGACTGAAATTGCTTCGGCAACGCATTCTAAAGCGTGTCAAATACATCTTATTTATGAACGGGACTAAGCTTTGCTTCAGCAATATTCGTTTTCCTTTTTCAAGTTCCAGCCTCTCCTAGATTTATCTTAGGCTTAGTCCTAAGAGCTGCCCCAGAATCCTGCAATACCGCCGTCCTACGGTCTGAAAAGAAGGTCCTGAAAAAAGATTGACCTGTTATTGGTCGGCCTCGCAGTCAGTGTGTAGGGCAGACCAAGGCTTAATGCTTTATGCTTGTTGGTGTACACTCTGCAGTCTATACATTGGTTACTGGTACAGCTGGCTCTAGCAACTATGGCCTATCTTCTGGTGCTGAATGGCTCAAACAACCGGCTTTGCAGCAAATGTTAAATTTCCAAGGAATCGTCGTTTCTACCTCTCCATTTTTGGAACTAGGATGTCTGCAGGCTCGCTCGCCTAGGGTGTTTGCAACGATCATTTCGTATTTTTTCTGATGCTTTAGATAGCCATGTGTGTCATGCCCATCCTAGAGTATCATTCAATATGCGATGCGTTTCAGATAAGAATTGCATATATCTGTCACGAATAGGTTGGGTTTAAGGTCAATGGTTTCTCTCAGAGCAATGTCTGACGACGTATTCTATTTCATGTCAGAGTTTCGATCCAGAGTTGCATCCATTACTACCCATGTGCGATAGGCTTCTCACCCGTCTGCCGACTGCTTTCGGGTCTCTACCGCAATTATATGAAACATCCAGACCCAAGAAAATCACACGGAGACTCTCCCGATTTTGCACTGTCGGCAACTGAGCTATCAGGTTCTCCGACTGGTAATATCGGATTTTTTTTTCGAGTGGTTATTTATCCTCCAAAATCTTACGTTGTTACATAGTGTACATTGTAATAAATGATCCTTTATATATACTTCGTTGTCTGTCTGTGTGTGCACACGTCTCTCTGTCTGACATGAAATCCATAACACGCCTCATAGGCGTCGATTCGGATTTTGATAAGGGCTGTTTAACGGATGTCAGAAGAAGGATAACGCAACACACTTAAGTACGTTTCGTTGCGTTGCCGCTGAGCAGTTAGGCGTTGTCCCAACGAGGGATCTCAGACAGAAACGTTTGGCGGGTGACAGAACTGATGATGTAGCTTACAAGGGTCGAAGAGTCGTTATCATTCATGTGAGATGACCGTCTTTGAAATGAAGGCAGTGGTCAAAAAATTAATGGAAATAAAATAAACATGGTTTATTTCTTGTGGGATGCTGAAGCATAACATCAACAAACATCAAAAACTTTATTTACGACTATTGTTTTAGAAATAAAACAAATAATACAAGCCCGGGCAAAAAGCATTTTTCAGTAGCAAAAACCATTTCACAATAGATCTTTACACATCATCTTTACACATAGATCGAATACATCTTCATTGCTCTGCATGAATTGCATATCTTTTGAATCTTTTTTAAGCTCATCTGCGCTTCTGGAAACAATGCGAACTTAATAGCGAGAACAGTGACAGTTTCAAAAGAATGCTGGGTTATAAACAGGGTCAACCGTCTGCTGGTACAACTACCAACGAAGGGGTCGTATTTGGAGGGCGTTCGTAAGGGCAATGGCCTGCAGAACCTCGGCGATATCGGTTTTGAATCGTAACTCTGGCTAGAGCGATGACACCGTACGTCCGTTTTAACGACATCTCAGAATATTCAAGATACACAGAGAAGATATTCATTATGAGAAGTGTGAACGGAACTCGGACTTGGACTTTGGAATGCATTCGTGAATTAGAAGCATGGCGCGCACCATGACAGGGATTGTTGGCGCAAAACGCTTCGAGTTCGAGCTTTCAGCAACAAAAAGTGTTTTAGAGGGAATTCGATGTTTCTGGAGGATATTGATATGCAGAAAACTGCAATGGTCTTCAGTGGTGGCTTTTCGAAGAAGCTACGAAAAGTTCACAAACAATTATTTTGCAGAAATGGCTTCTCACTAAAGCTTGGGTGAATTTCGGAAGCGCAAGCTCGTTCTTATTAACACACCTGGAGTTTTACACGAAATTGGGTTTGAATGAAGTTTCGACCAACAAAATCTAAAAAGAACAGCTTTCCCAAGGAAATGGCTTGAAGAATGCTCCTCCGAAAACGTCCCAAAAGGACTAATTACTGAATTAGTTACTTTCTGAACGAGTTTAAGTACTTTTTAGAAAGCTTGAACTTTGATTTTTGCCATATTTGCTTCGGCTTTCCAAATCAATGACTCTGAAGAAAGCTGTAGTCGTTTGAAAGTTGAAAACTCGCATGTGCAAGGAAGAAGTACCAACGTACTAAATTTTTACTGAATGCCTTTCAGAAGATATTGAACGATCTCTGGAGGGAGAATGATTTGAGTTATCTTCACCTGGTATCACCTGTCGCCCCGTTGATCGTCGATTTGCTCGAGCGGGCGCCAGCAACGTCTCCATTCGTCCCTGTCGCGTGCTAGAGTTGTCCAGAAGACCCTCCTCTCTCAAGGAACACGAAGTCTGACCGAACACGAACTGACCATTTACACCACTTCCGCACACGTAGAGAAACACGACAAAATGCAGCGACTTCGTATTTATATTTCCACTTCCTTTCCTCTCCACCTGTTATCCAAATATATCCGGTCACAATAAAGGCGAACGGGGATTACCCGACTTAAGTGAGAAAACCAACCACGAGAGCGGAAAATTCGTAAGGCCCATACCTGACCCGCTGATTTCCAGCTGACGCGCAATAAGCCTGCGCGGTTTGGGGCGCTAATCCTTACGTGCTCGCAACCATCGATCCTCGCTGCAACGCTTCCCACCCACCGCTATTGGTATAGAGGCCGCGTTCTCTCTCGTGGCATGCTCTCTCGCGTGTTTTGTCTTCTTTGACCGCCCTTCCTCGCCGTCATTTCACATCCGACCTTTTTGAAACGGTAAAGGCTACTTAATTTCAAGTTATATCCCCAAGATTTCTCTAGCCTTCCAATATCCACTTTCTACAGTCTGTCCCCACAGCTCAAGGTCATCATTAGGAAGCGTTGCTTCTTGCCTTTACCAAAATCCATGTATACAACAACTTTAACCAGCTAATTAATGAGTTCGCAGGTCAACAGGGAGATTCCCATGTCTGCATGATTCCCATTACCGATTCTTCCCATGTCTGCTGGCTGTTGCATTAGCAATCGTGGCTAAAGCAGAAGCAGAAGGCATTAGCAAGTCAGTTATGTCACCGCTGTGGCGCGCAAAAAAATGGGAATGAAAATGAAATGAATGAAATTGAACCACAAGTGGAGCTCCTTCACCGTGATGAAGTGAGGATCGGAGGCGAACTAAAAATACACCGAGCCTTTAGCCAATGATTGGAATTGCTGCAGGATGTGTCTGGAATTTTCTGCATTCAACCAAATTTTATCTACAAAACGACGCCAAAAACGGTTTACAATGTTTATGCCTTATGTATTGTAAATATCTACAATAGCTAGGCTTCTTCTCCTCCTTCTCCTTCTCCTTCTGAGCCTTCGCCCGAATCACCTTCAGGACCTGGTTCCGTGAGGTCTTCAAAGGGGACTCCAGTCGTGGTGGGCACCGGCTTATGGTAAGGATGGAGACTCGGCCATATGCTAATCGTTCGTTTATAGTGCAGAAACATCAGAAGTGTGAACACTAATGTGAAGACCAACAAAGCGATAGTGATGCGTAGAACGACGCGAAACGACTCCTGAAATGAAGCAGAGTGCTTATATTTTGAGGGGGGGGGGGCACATTGGAAACAAATTATTTGAAATTGAAGCAAGCGTTTTGTTTTGTTGCAAGCGTTGAGAAGTAGTAAGAAATCTTCAGCCTCACGAGAAAAATTCCGTTTTGACGCTGCGCTCATAAAGACATGAGAGGGGACATCTTCGCACTGTAGTTCATATGGAGCTTCAAATTTAGAGTGGCCAATGTTTTAATGCATTCAACTGCGAAGGTCTTCTTTGTCGCTAAGTGCAGGTGACGTTACTCGTGCACTCATTTTTGAAGTTTGGGGTATATCGTGCGTTTTCGGGTTCTAAATGGTGCGAAGAAGTGAGTCATGAGGCCACGATTTTCGCAGGGAAGAGGAACACCGGTATTGACAATCAAGTTCTCATCGGGAGACGGTCAAGAGTCCCCCGCGACCGCCGCGCCAAAACTAGGTCACCGCGCGCGACGTCGCCGGTGTTTCTGCAATTTGCCGAGTTCAGGACCCCTCTCCAGACGATCGATACAACGCTTTCCTGTTCCCTCTGTGTAGGCCCCATTCCTGCATTTGTTTCAGCTTAGTCCTAGCAACTTGATACGTTTCAAGCTGGATATGGTAGATAGCCGCCGCGTGCGGTGACCTACTTTCGCTTGCGCGGCGACCTCAGGGGGACTCTTGTCTCGCATCCGTTCTCATCCCGTGGCTCAGAAATATTCGTCCGCAACGAATACCCTTTCCCTGCAAAAAGATTAGTTAGACTTCATGATGATAAGAGTATTCAGGACTAATCATCACCTGGAAGGGGAAGGACTTCCTAGAACCCACCCCAAGAGTTGGGCTTCAAAATATCGTGACAAATGAATTTCACATCATCCTCCAGTAGAATATATGCTTGTCGCGACTCCAAATGCCCAGGGTCATATAGAAGTCACCACCACCCCCACGACACTGGATTTGCCTTCCGAAGGCAAATAGCCTCTCAAAAGAGACTTACCGCCGACTCATTAGCTGCTTGGATTTTTCGCTGCAGATGTGCACCTCCTAAACATCGAGATCAGGTGTGTGATAAATTGGCTGCACTTTTCGTGCTGTATGGGTGAACTCTGCAAAAGCAGTATTCTCTGTTCAGAGTAAGACCCCTATCCAATTTGACAAGATGAGGGTCAAACATGCCACCCAGTTTGAGAACAATATCTCTCCACAGAATTGTTTGTAGGCAAAAAGTCCAGCTTATTAGGCTTCTCTTTATCACAAACAAGGCTGTGATAGATAAGTGCGTAGTGCGTTGGCTGGTCCAGTTTCGTTTGAATTGGCAAAAGAACAATGACTGGATGCAGTACTTACTTCCCGACAATGACTGGATGCAGTACTTACTTCCCATATCTGACAGGTACTTGCCCTTCCTTTACTTTCGTCACACGTCTAAAACTGAAGCAGTCACTTAACCTGCTCCCGTGTCGGATCATCCGTGCGCTTGAACCTACCAAGCAAAGCCGGCTGCTAAAATACGTGAGTGTAACAAAGTGAACCTATCATGGCGGAGGAATGTTTACAAACTTTCCCCTCATCAATGGCACTTGTTTCTGTTGATGTGTTATCAAATGGTTATCAGATGAGTACCGATAAAAGTGTCCATGCCAGTAGAGTTAGGACGAATTAGCGTTTGCAGTGAACATATTATAGAGCACGGCAGCCTGCAAGAACTAAAGTATGTACAGCTGCGATGTTTGGTTGATGGAGATACGGGAACTGATGAATGCTAAGCAGGAATGCACGATTACCGAATATTCCGTAAAGGTGGTACAGGCGGCGGTCCAAAATAATCGCTATAGGCAAGAAATCAGTGAAGCAGCACAGAAAAGGCAACGTAAATGCCATAGAAAGCGACGTCCCCTTCAGACAACATATATCTGCTCTCAAGCAGGGTTCACCGAAATCTACGCAAAAAATTCCTCCAGAGCCTATATAAAGGCAATCCCCGGGATTGGCCCGACTGGTAGGAGGGATACCACGGGGGATATTGTAGGGTCTGCAACTACCTAGAGGGGAAAGAGGGTCGCCGGGGTAAGTGAGCGATTTACTCATCCTTATGCTTGAAGAAGTCTTTTTCCCCACCCTCTACTTCTATCATTCTTCAAAATCCTTTTGGCTGAAGTAGTCGGGGGTCAAATGGGCGACTTCAATTGCTTTCATGTACTTGTGCTAGAATGTCGCCCTTCCGAACGACCTGGGCTCACAGTGCATTTATCCACTCATGGAGCGTTCATAGTTGACGATCGCACGTGCGGTTAGGCGAGTAGGCGATAAAGGAAGGATACGTATTGATTTGTTGCTCCGCCCATTGAGTGCCTGATCGCCTACTCGCCTACAACGCCTATTGGTGGAGCAAAGCAATCAATGCGTATGTAGTCGGTCTTCCACTCCTAGTCGCCTACTCGCCTGATCGCCTAATTGCGCGTGCGATCGTCAACTATGACTCCATCAGACAAATCTTGGCTCGCTCAA